CGCGAGTTCAAAACCGATGCAAACATGATAATTATAAGTCAGATTCAAGTTCAAATTGACAGGGAAAGGTTTCATGACATGCTATCGAGTGGTTTCTATAGAACATGGTGCGGTTTTACTTCAAAGTCATTCAAATGCATCAGACAACTAGTAACGAGGGCATTGAGTTTATTCAGTAAATCAACATGCTTACAAGGTTATTTCCTCATTATCCCCTATGCATATGCAACAATCCTAAATGAAACACTCTAGACTCGATCCTAAATGCAATGCAGCTACATGAGCACTCTGTTTTTGTGGAATACATTTTCAGAAATTTTCAAATTTTATTGTTTTTTTCTATGTTTTAGATAATATGCAGACTCAAATGATATTCACAAAAAACAAGTCAAATACGTCTTGAACCCTCCCCCAAACTTAAATTACACAGTCCCTTGTGTAATAAAAATTTGTGAAAGAATTCAAGATAAACACAAGAAACAAAAACAAAAACGGTATTTACAATTGTGTTTTGGTGTGTTACCTCAAGAAAATTACCTGGAGATGTAGTCATCCATCTCCGCTTGAGTGTAATCCATAGGCATGACAGGTCCTAGCTGCGCTTCCGCCATCTCCTCATCATCGTGCTCAATTGCAACCCCAGCAGGTTGTTGAGCTCGGCGATCATGCGATCTCCTCCTTGACATTACTCGCCCTTTGCTTGATGAACGAACTATCTTCGCATTCTTCCTCCTCTTGTGTTCTCTGGTCTCATGAGACGAGTGCCTTGCGGGTTCTTGCGGAGCGGCGCGTTCTCTCTATTGATAGGCGGATTGCCTTGGCGGGGCTATGTCATGGCGCCTGTACGGCATGTCTTCGGGCGGGTTGTCTCTTGCGACGGCAGTAGTCGATGATGTGCAGCTAAGGGCCTTGATACACTTTTTGATGATTTTGTCCTGAAACTTGCACCATTTTTGAACTAGCCTGAGCTTCTGGTGTGATTCAGCGAGACTCTTACTTTCTCGTGAAGGAGGCTTGTGTTCTTCGAAGTGAAACCTGCTTGTGTCATAGTTCTCCCAGCTAATCTCTTCATTGTCGCTCTGTTCTTCTACTTCTTCAGCAACATTTCTGGATGAAGAGCCTCCAATCACAGCATGGAGGGTTTCGATGGGTGGTGAGAAGTCAATGTTGTCTCTCACCGTGATGGTCGTCATCTCGCGGAACGGAATGAGGAATTGTGCAGCTCCTACCGCCGGATGGTCAAACTTGTAGGCGTATCTCTCATCGTGCATTTGGTGCTCGATCACATGGGCAAGCTTAAGATGGGCAATGTCCATCCACCTTGGTTCAGTTGGAGCCGATGTCAAAGGTACTTCACAAAATTGGAGAATTGGTGTCACCACCCCTCCAACGCAAAGAGCGCCTTTTACTCTCTTCTTGCTATTGGATAAAGCCCACCCTTTGTAGCTGCATAGGTGGTTGAGAAGATACATGGACGGAGGTGTGTCGCTTGTATCGCCTCTTATCGTCTTGCCATTCTTGGTGTAACGGAGTAAACTCTTCAACGCCAAGTCCAACGTCTCCATGTCTGGGTTGGTTAAGGTGGCGGATATACTTCTAGCATACGGGACATTGGCCAGGGCACGTTGGAAGTAGCGGATAGCCGGATTGCGGATGGAGTTGCTCTTAGACCTGGCAGAACTGAAAGTGGTGTCATCTCCGATTGTGTTCCACAACGCCTTAATCTCATCTCGTAGGAACTTTGGTTTCGTTCCCGTGCCACTAGGAAAATCGAACATTTCTTCCAACATTTTGATGGTCATGACGTAATCGCGGCCGTCAATGGTGAAGCTCAAGTATCCCAGTCCTTCTTTTCTCAATTCTGCAGCTGATAGCCCTTCAAACAACTCCACTTGAACAGTCGAAAGGAATTGAATGGTCTCTTCCTTATAAGCAGGGTAAGGGTGAGACATTAGTGTCGCCATATGACACTTTTCGAACAGCAGCTCAACATCCTCCAGAATTCCAAGATCCGCCATGGTCTCGGGGTGGGGATACCTTGTTCCCCAGAAAGGATTTCTCTTGAAGAGGTTGTAGTAATCCTCAGGAGTGAGATTATCTTCTTTCATCAGCGACTTGGTTGTCTTACGGACTAATTCTAGAGTATACTCTGCATCATCCTCCATGTCTTCATCGACGAGTTCATACCGCTCCGTCATTGACCGCTTCCCTCTTGCGATTTCTCTTAGTCTTCGGTCTTCAGCAACAGCTAGTTCTGTTTCTTCCACGAACCGCTGATACTCTTCTGCTTCCCTTTCTGGTCTACATTGTGGAAGTCGAAACTAACACAATCGAGATTTGTCTAAGGTTTTATTTTAGGGATACGATAATCGTGAATTCTCAAAGAACAACAGAAACGATTGATACCAAAGATGGTGTTCTTGATATTATTAATGAAAAGATGATTTTGATCGTACAAGAGTTTGATCGTAAGAGAAAAGGTGTTTGTGCTGTGAGAGCTTTGCGTAGTATAAATTCTAGAGCGATCTTGCTTGCCTTTGCTTGAGCCTTGAGTCTCTTTATATATAGGTGATAAACCGCCTCTCCAGCGATATTCTCGGAAGATTTCCATTTATCTTGAAGTCGGCTCAGAATATCGCGGATTAGGATGGTTTCCTTATTTTTCGGAGTCTTTGGGAGATTTCCTGATTTGAATCGATCCTTCTAGATTCTCTCTTATCATTTCCGGGTATATCGGAAATGATCCTTCTTGTTCGAAAATGACATCTTGCTTGGAAATGGTACTTTGAAAGCGAATATTTGCTAAGTCTTTACCTCGGGCGATGATGAAGACTTCACCTCGGGGAAACTCGTGCAATCGGCTCGGGTACAGGAAGGACTGGCTCGGTCACTCTGGGATGGCTTATTCGGGTATCCCCGAGGCGATGGGCTCAGAAACTCCCGAGGCGAAGGGCTCGGGTGCTTGAGACGTAACGTTCAAACATCCCCGAGGCGAAGGGCTCGGGTGCTTGAAGCGTCTTGTTCGAGTATCCCCGAGGCGAAGGGCTCGGGTGCTCGTAACGTTCAAACATCCCCGAGGCGAAGGGCTCGGGTGCTTGAAACGTCTCGTTCAAGTATCCCGAGGCGAAGGGCTCGGGTACTTGAAACTACTTGTTAAAGGTATTCCCGAGGCGATGGGCTCGGGTATACTAGATCGATTAGATGGATATCCCGAGGTGAATGATGCGATACCCCGAGGTGATCGCTGAAAGACTCCCGAAGTGTTCTAAGTCTGGCTTGGCGCTAAAGGATGGAATCCGACCCCAACAGTTAGCCCCCCAGCTCGTTAGTTTGGAGAACCGAGCGTGACGAGCTGTGACAATTAGGCCGAGCCGTTTACTTTGATCAGTTCGGTCCCTTTAGCGATTTGAATTCCTCTGTCGTTTCATCTTCTCTTGGCGTGTGACGGTTGGGATTCCTTCTCGAGAAGTGGAAAGGTCCTTTCGCTGATTCCCGAGATTAGTGCGGATGCGAAGTATCTTATTTGATTTGTGTGTGCCCGACGCGCCTTAGACGCGGACGCGATGTTTTTATTTGGTTCGTACCCGACGCGCCTTAAGTCCCTATAAATGTTAAGTCTCGGACTCATTCTCTCATTTCGCAACTGCAAAGGAAATTTTTCAAGGTTCGTTCTCTTCTTTCTCTGATCTTGAGTTTTTGCATTTTCTCTACTTTTCCGTTATACTTCCGTCGTAGCGCCGCCGTCATTAGACCTAGGTTGATTTCTCCGATCTGTCGGGCTTTGTTCCTCCGATCAACTTCTCCAATCTCCCGAGCCAGAAAATGTCTCTATCTGATTCCAGCGATTCGCCCCGAGGCGACTACCACGGACCATCAAATCGTGTTGTACCGTGGAAGTGATGTAGAGTCGGCTTCACGGGAAGAAGACCCGAGCCGTTTTATCATCCGGGAAGATGCGGTTGCAAATGTGGCTCGGGATCAGGATTTGCCTGATGATCCCGAGGCGATTTTGAGTAGAAGGAGGACCCATCCACCGGCAGCTGGTGAAGCTGGAGTATCATGCTGGCGAAATGCCCCCGAGGTGCCTCTACTTCCTATTAAGGCCGAGGAGGTTCACTACGACTCTGACGAGGCGGCTAGGTTGCTCCGAGCTAAAGTCCAAGCAGCCAAGGGTTAACAGAAGAGAAAGCGAGCCAAGAAAGCTAGGAAACCTGATCCCCGGGGTTCTACCTTATGCACGGAGGATTCCCTTTGGGATCTCAAGGCTCGATTTGGTTTTAGCGAGGGGGTTGAACTCAGACTTCCAACTCCAAATGAGCGAGCCGATGATCCACCCGAAGGGTTTTTTACCCTTTACGAGGGGTTCTTCTATCATTGCTACCTTTGGCTTCCAATCCCGAGGCCGATTTTGGCGTTTCTCTGGTCGTACAAGATTGCTTTATCCCAGATAACAACCCGAGGCTTGCGACATCTAGTGGGGATTTTAGTCCAAAGTATTGAGATGGTCAATCTCGTCGACCTAAGCCACTTAAGGAATCTCCTAGAGATCCGGCGCATACCGGGCCCTGTTGAGAGATTTTACATATCTCCGAGGCCAAACAGGAGGGTTATCGGTGGTTTCCCGAGCAAGGATGAGAAATACACCGACCATTTCTTCTTCGTAGCTTTGAATGAGTATAGTGTCCACGAGGACTACTTAGGGAAAATTGTTGGAAAGTGGAGACAAATCGGTACTACGCCCGAAGCCGTATTTGCTGTCTTGTTTTGCTTTAACCTTTTTACTGACCGTTTTTCTTGTTCATGCAGATCGGAACCCGTCGTTTCTCGAAGACATTCCCGAAGGTTTTCTAGATCTCCACGACAAACTAATCGCTCGGAAGTGCGATTGGACAAAACACTTCTCCCAGAAAAGAATCGAGAGAGCCTTGCGTTTGTTGCACGGAGCTCCCTGCCAGTCTTCTTCAGAATCATCCGACCACCGTTTAGATCATCTCATTGAAATGCAAGGAGCTGCGCAATCTCTGAGAGCCAGGAAGGCTACTGAAAAGAAGGCGGCTAAGGAAAAAGCCGTTTTGGAGGCGAACTTCAGACCTCCTACTCCTCCCGAAGCCAACCCTGAGGTCGTTATTGGTGCCGAGGCAGCTGATGAAGCTCGGGATATGGTTTCGATCGTTCCCGAGGTGGCCGGGCACGTCTCCCCTACGACCGACGTCCCCGAGGTGGTAGGGACTATGGTCGTTGCTGCTCCAGCCGCCGAGGCGAAATCCAAAACTAGGGGAAAAAGACCCCGAGATGATGGCTCGGGAGTTTCTAGGAAGGAAAAAAGGAGTCGTGGCGAAACTCCTCCAGTGTACAAGGACAAGATCGCTTCGGCGAACTTTGTCGCTTCTTGCTCGGGTCCGCCACTGTCTACTCCTGATGCCTTGTTGGAGGCTCAAAACTACCGTGAAACTGCTGCCGGATTCCTGAAGGTATCATTGATCTGTTCTCGACCTATTTTACTATCGTTTGCGTATTTGCTTGCTAATGATTCTCGTTCTATCTCAGGCCTTCCATTCGATGAATTCCATGGTTCGGGCCTATGATTCTGGAGCTCGGAAGTCCGAGCTGGCCCGTGAGAGATCAGAGACGTCCCGAGCCGAGGTCGAAGCTAGGTTGTCCGAGGCGATGGCGGCTAAACAGGAAGCTGAGGCGTTGGCTAAGGCCGAGAAGGTGGAGCGATTGAAAGCTTCTGAGGATAGCCTGCGGACTCAGAGAAAGCTTGAGGCCGAGGTCGAAAGACTCCATCGGTTATTTAACGAGGAGAAGGCTCTCCGGGAGAAGGAGATTGTCAGAGAGAGGAGGGCAGCCAAAAGGGAGTTTGCCGAGAAGGTCAGCGCTATCGAGGCGAAGATGGACCAGTTCGGGGAGGTATCCACGCGCTACATGTACTTGGTGCAAGCGCGGGCCAATGCCGAGCTGATAGCCGAGCTGGAAGAAGGGAAAAGGATGGAGGATGAGAAGGCCGAGGTCCTTCAATGGACCACTGAATATGGAGACGCCGAGGATGAGTACGTTCGTCTCGGGACCGAGCTGCGAGAGGACTTGAAGCTTCCTCCGATTTCCCCGGACTCTGTCGACGATAGCTTCGGGAATCGTTCGGTCAAGGGTGCCGTGGCTGCGATAGGCGTTGCCGACCAGTCGGGTTCGAACCGAGGTACCGAGGTAGCTCAAGTTTCGCCGGTTAACCAAGATTCGATCTGATCCCGAGATGTCTTTTTATTCTCTTTTTTGTAAGACATGCCTGGACGACTTTATCCCTTAAAATTTTATGTCGATTATTTTTTTTAAAAAATCTTTCCGAACTAAATCCAAAACTAATGTCAAATATCTGGATTTACCTTTCGAGCCGAGAGCGAAAAGAATCATGCACCGGTGTTAAGTTAACCGGGTTTAAGAATTGCTCGTTGAGAAGTTAAATCCAAACGTCTTAACTTTCGAACCGAAAGTGAAATGAATCGTGCACCAGTGTCAGGATAACTGGGTTTTGGTTAAGTAGGACTAATCTTTATCGGTTGCGACCCGAGCTGATATAGTCGAAGCCAGTGCTTAGAAGCGAACTGGGGTACCAGTGTCGAAGTCAACTGGGTTTTCTGAAGACAATTTCTTTATGGCAAGATATCTCCGACCAAATCGTCTCGACTGTTTATATAGCGCGCTGTGTCCGAGGCGGTGAGAAGAGCTTTTTCTGTCCGAGGACGTGGCCATCGTCCGAACGAACTTTTAGCTTTATAGGTCGATAAGATGACTGTTAAAATCTCCGAGGTGGATAAGATTGATAATCCGAAGGGTAAAAACTTAGAGAATTTGAAAAATTTAGTGGGAGTATATATGTATACGGACCCACTCCCCCCCTTTTTTAATTAGGGGGGTAGCTGAACTCGTCCGAGGACGAGCTGCCTACGTACCCTTTTCAGGGATCAAGCCACCCCGTAGTTCAAGTACATGCGTACCTTAGGTTTTTAGAGGTAATATTTCCTTAGATGCATTGCGTTCCAGGATCTAGGTACCGCTTTGCCGTTCATGTTGATGAGTTCGTAGACGCCGGGACGGATTACCTTTGCGATCGTGTAAGGTCCCTCCCAATTCGCGCCGAGCTTACCTGCATTCTCCTCGGCGGTGTTCTGGAAAACTTTGCGCAGTACGAGATCTCCTTCGTGGAAACGACGATACTTAACGTGAGAATTATAGTACCGAGCCGTTGCATTCTGATAATTCTGCATACGGATCAAAACCGAATCTCTTCTTTCGTCGATTAAGTCCAGCTCCTCCAGCATCATCTGAGTGTTGGAATTTTCTTGCTCGGGGAGAAAACGTCTTCTCAGTCCCGGGATCTCGGCTTCGGCGGGAATCACACACTCCGTGCCGTAGACAAGGGCTAAGGGTGTTTCTCCCGTGGCCCACCGCGGCGTGGTTCTGTGTGACCATAATACTCCTTCCAATTCGTCGGCCTAGCGGCCTTTCTTCGCGTCGAGGCGCTTTTTTATTCCGTCGAGAACCGTCTTGTTGGCTGCTTCGGCTTGACCGTTTCCCTGAGGGTACCGAGGCGTGGATTTGCTGAGGCGAATTCCCCATTTCTCGCAGAATCCTTCGAACCGAGCCGAAATAAACTGCGATCCGTTGTCTGTGACAATCTCGTAAGGTATCCCATGGCGGCATATGATGTTCTTCCAGACGAAGTTCTCGACCTGCGCATCTTTGATGCTGGCGTAGGAGTCTGCCTCGATCCATTTGGAGAAGTAGTCAGTCAGTACGAGGACAAGTTTCTTCTGCTTGGAGTTGTGTAGAGGTCCGATGATGTCCATGGACCATCGCATGAATGGATAAGACGAAGTGATGGAAGAGAGGAGCTCGGCGGGTTGATGAATGGTTGGTGCGTGTCGCTGGCATTTATCACATCGTTGAGAAAACTTCTCTCAGTCTTTGACCATCGTCGGCCAAAAATATCCGTGGCGTTTGATCTTTATAGCCAAGGCTCTTCCGCTAGAATGGTTTCCACAAGATCCGCCGTGTACTTCTTCCATGACTCTGCGAGCTTCGTTTCCTTCGACACAGATAAGGAGGGGACCAGAAAATCGCCATTTAAAGAGCTCTCCGTCGATCAGAGTATACCGAGCCGCTTTGGCCTTAAGCTTCCGAGCCGCCCACTTTTCAGTAGGAACTTCTCCATCAGCGATATAGCTTCGGATGGCTCTGATCCATTTGGCATCGCTCCCGTATTCGGGCTCGGTTGCGTCCGTAGTTTGCTGGTCTATCTGTTCGATGCCCATTTCTTCCGGTTCTTCTGTCTCCCGAGCTGTTAGAACTTGATCCTTGCTATTGTCTTCAATGCTCGGCTTTTCGATGAACTCAACCGGTATGATCCTCTTCAGATTTGGGTCTGAGGTTGAAGCTAGAGCCGCTAAGGCATCGACCGATGTGTTCTCACCTCGTGGGATTCTGGTTAACTCAAACTCTCTGAACTGTTTCGCCAAGTCTTGCGTGAGAGCAAGATACGCTTCCATTCGTTCGTCGCGAGCCGAGTATTCTCCATTGAATTGATTAGCCACGAGCTGGGAGTCGCAAAAGGCTCGCAGCTTGTTGATCTTGAGTCCCCGAGCCAGCTTAAGTCCTGCTATCAGCGCTTCGTACTCAGCTACGTTGTTAGTTGCGTCGAAATTTAGCCGAAAGGATTGTTCAAGGATTTCACCCTCTGGTGATGCGAGGCGGATTCCGACGCCAGAACCTTGTTTTGAGGATGAGCCGTCGACGTGGAGGATCCAGACAGCGTTGGATGACTCTTCTCGGACGTTTTCTGTTGGCAGCTCGATGATGAAATCGGCCAAGACTTGAGATTTTGTGCACGTTTTGTTTCTGTATTCGATGTCATACTCGCTGAGTTCTACCGCCCACTTGGCCAAGCGTCCCGATTGGCTCGGACTGTGCAGGACGGTTCGGAGTGATACGGGCGCCATGACGATAATTGAGTGAGACTGGAAATATGGCCGTAGCTTCCGAGCTGACATTACTACGGCGAGGGCGAGCTTTTCAGTTTGCGGGTAGCGTGTTTTTGCGTCGGTGAAAGTTTGCGAGACATAAAATATCGGTTTCTGCTCCCCTCTGTCTTCCTTGACTATGACTCCACTTATAGCCGTATCAGAGACTGCGATGTACAGGAATAATGGCTCGCCCGGGACCGGTTTCGCTAACACCGGTGGATTGGCCAAATACTTCTTCAGTTCCTGGAAAGCTTCTTCGCAGCGATCGGTCCATTCGAATTTCTTGTTCCCGCGCAGAGTATCGTAGAAAGCAAGGCATTTGTCAGTGGACCGCGAGATGAATCGGTTCAAGGCTGCGACTCTCCCGGTGAGACGTTGGACTTCGCGCTTGTTCTGCGGTGAGGGCATGTTTAGTAGAGCATCGATTTGCTTTGGGTTTGCCTCGATGCCTCGGTGAGTTACGAGATATCCCAAGAATTCTCCAGACTTTACCGCGAAGCGACATTTTGCCGGGTTAAGCTTCATGTTGTGCTTGTTGAGCTGACGAAAACAGTCGCGTAGATGGGCTATGTGATCGCTTTCTTCAAGGGATTTGACTAACATGTCATCGATATAAACTTCCATCGTCTTCCCGAGCTGTTCGGAGAACATCCTGTTGATAAGTCGCTGATACGTCGCGCCGACGTTCTTGAGTCCGAAGGGCATGACTTTGTAACAGTAGATACCTCGGTCTGTGATGAACGCTGTCTTCTCGCGATCGTCGGGGTGCATGAGAATCTGATTGTATCCTGCGAAAGCATCCATGAATGATAGCAACTTATTTCCCGCGGTTGCTTCCACTAAACGATCGATATGTGGGAGCGGAAAACTGTCTTTAGGGCAATCTTTGTTCAGATCGGTGAAATCGACGCAGACTCTCCACTTGCCGTTCTTCTTTTTAACCACGACAGGATTTGCTAACCAGTCCGGATATCTTGCTTCAAAGATCGAGCCGATCTTCAGGAGCTTTTCTACTTCGGCGTTCACGGCATCTGCGCGATCCCGGCCCAATTTTCTTCGCTTCTGCTTGATGGGCTTGAAAGATGGATCAACATTTAGCTCGTGGCAGATTACGTCGATGCTTACTCCAGGTAGATCTTCAGCTGACCAGGCGATGGTGTTGATGTTCTCTTTGAGGAATGAGATGAGCTCGGTCTTGATCTCCTCGGTTAAGTCGCTGCCAATTTCCACGCATCGTTCAGGCCGTTCGTCGTCGAGGCTAATGGAGATTACAGGATCCGAGGTAGGCTTCTTCTCCTCGCGCGCCTCCTCGATCTGTAATTGCTATAACTGTTTAGATATAGCCTTCTCTTCACTCCGGCCAAGTTTTGATTTCTTGTGACTGGTTTCAGCCTTCGCTTCGGTGACAGGGTTTCGGAGTTTGTGTGCTGCCATGAAACACATCCGAGAATTTTTCTGACTGCCCCATATCGTTTTCACGCCATTAGGGGTCGGGAACTTGACACACAGATGATATGTTGATGCGACAGCTCGCATTAGATTTAACCACGGGGTTCCCATTATGACGTTGTAGATGGTAGGTCGATCGGTGACTGAGAAGCTGACTATCTTTGTTACCCCGCCGGCTCGGACTAGTAGTTGGATGGTTCCAAGCGTCATCAAAGTTTCCCCTGAAAATCCGAGGACAGGCCTCGGGGTCGGAACCACCAGTGACATGTCGATGTTCATTCGTTGGAGCGTCTCGCGAAAGATCACGTCAATGGTGCTGCCGGTGTCAATTAATACTCCGTAAATATCGTGGTCTCCTATTGCTAATGTGACGACGATTGGATCGTTATGAGGCATGTCGAGCCCGTTTGTCTCGCTTTCTTCGAATGTGATCACGTCGTTAGGTCGATCGAAGCGTCTTGTCCAGTTGCTAGGCGTCTCGGCTCGGCGTTGATAAGCTTTGATTGCCGCTACGGTGTCAGGACAGTAAGGTGATCCACCCATTATGGTAAGAACCTTCTGCCGCGTACCATCTCGGTCTTCGTCTTCCGACCCCCGGGTTCTTTTCTGAGACTCCTGGTTCCTTGGTTCGGGGTCTCTTCCTGGGTTGGTCTGCTCGGGCTCTGGTTCTGGCTCAAGGTCCTTAAGGGTTACGTTTGTCCCGAGCTCTCCAGCTAGGAATTTGGTTGCTAACTTGGC